AGTTTGTATCAGAGGTATTAATTATATATAATAAATTATTTTTATAGCATGTAATTGTCAATGTATCATTTTTTTTCTAATTTTAGACATAAATTAACTTTTGAAGTAAATGGTAAATAAACACCATAATTACATAATTCCCATCATGCAAGAGTGTCCAAATAAGTGTGTCCGAGTGTTCGAACTCTAATGCATGAGAAATGGTTAGTAAACACCATAATTACATATTTGTCAGCATGCAAGGGGGTCCGAATAAGTGTCCGATTTTTCGAACCCTAATAAATAAAAAATGGTAAGTAAACACCATAATTACATATTTTTCATCCGCAAGAGGGTCCGAATAAATGTCCGAGTGTTCGAACACTAATGCGTGAGAAATGGTAAGTAAGCACCATAATTACATATTTACCATCGTGCATGAGTGTTCGAATAAGTGTTCGAGTGTTCGAACCCCCTAATGCTTGAGAAATGGTTAGTAAATCACATAATTACATATTTGCTAGCATGCAAGAGGGTCCGAATAAGTATCCGAGTGTTCGAACCCTAATGCTTGAGAAATGAAAAGTAAACACCATAATTATATATTTGCCAAACTTGAAACATAAAAGATCAAAGTTTAAAAAAAATAAAAATAAAAACAAAACTTTAAAAGCCAAAGTAAAAAAATGTCGAACAAATGGCCATAGGATTATAAGTATAGTGAGAAGATTAATAATATCATATTTTCAGCTAGCTAAAAAAATTCTATATAGGGGAAATTTTTAAATTTTTTTTATAGTTGATTTGATGATTGTGAAAGAAAAATAAAATAATTATAGTTTAGATATGACATTTTATTTTATTGATATTAGCATATTTTATCTTTTAAGAATTATTTTACTTCTCATTTTACAAAAATAACAAAGTTATTTTTTTACATAATGAGGATTTTATATACTTTAATATATTTAATTCAAACTAATTAATACCATTATGCTACTATACAAGTAAACATATTTTACCTTATATTTCTAATTTAATACTACTACATTAATAAGTCTTCTTTTGGGATGTGAGTTGACTTTTTAGTTATTTTAGCCTGCGGCTAAAAAGTGGGCATTTTAGCTTTTTGACTTTTGTGAGAGAAAAAACGAAATAATTATGATTTGGATGTGACATTTTGTCTTATTAAGTTTTGCCGTCGTTTGACATAAGTTAAAATGAGACTTTTTGGTTAAAATAGCCACAAAAAAACAAAATATGTTTTTTAGCCTAATAAGGCAAAATGTTACATCCAAACTATAATCATTTTTTTCCTCTCACAAATGTCAAAAAAGTTAAAAAAATCTATCACAAGCGAGACTTTTTAATCCTAGGCTAAAATAGCTAAAATAGCTAAAAAATCAAAAAAACTAACTCATATCCCAAACAAACTTTTTATCTTTTTGTAGCTAAAATAGCGCCAAACCAACCCTAAGTAAGCTCTTTATTCAATTTCATGATACTAAAATAATTCTATACAACCTATTACAGTAAACAAACCAAATCCTAAGTTTAAAAATTCATAAAGAATGTGAAAAAGAACACTGAGTATGATTTGATAATTAAAAAATAAAAGATAATTTTTTTTCTTTATTTAGAGTTTGACTATGGTAACAAAATAAATATTAATTTTTAATTCTATCAATTTAAACTTTAATTTTTTTGATTTTTTTTAATCTAAATTATCAACCTAATTTCATTAAGTAAAATCAATATATATATATATATATTTCAATCATCATAATCAATATAGGTGTACATAAAATGTCTAAAATATTATTTTTTATTAAATTTAATAACTAAAATATTATTTTTTAATCAATTTTACTTAATGAAAATAGAAAATTAGTTTAAATTGAATACAAATCTAAAGTTCAGGATTTAAAATGATAAAATTAAAATTTATTTTGTTATAAGGTTCAAGTTTTAAAATTTTAAAAAAAATTATAATTTTTTCTTAAAAAATAAATACAAAATTTGGTGAAATACTAATCCTCTTTGGCAGCAAGCTATGACTGATGAACTCCATGCCTTGGACAAAGCTCATACTTGGGATCTAGTG